TCTATATTTCTCTTTTTTCTTTTTGAGATTTATTGTTTTTCTTTGAAAGAGTGTCAGATGGGACGCGCGCAGAGAGAGAAAGGGAGGTGGCAGGTAGCAGGCAGAGTTCTTTAAGATGGTTTACTTCCCAAATGGCTGCAATGGCTGAGGCTAGGCCAGGCCAAGACCAGAAGCCTGGAACCCCATCTGGGTCTCCCACCAGAGTGCAGGAGCTAAAGGATGTAGACCATCTTCTGTTACTTTCCCAGGCACGTTAACGGAGAACTGTATCAGAAGTGAAGCTGCTGGTACTAGAACCAGTGCTCTTAAACAGAGTTCTGGCATCCCGGGTGTCGGTTTAACTCACTGCTCCACAGTGCTGGCTCCTTGTTTTCTTTTTTTGCTTGAAACTTTCATTTCGGAAGCTTCTCTCAAATATTTGGTTCTCCATTCATACTAGAATGGAACAGAAAAAGAGTTGGGGGGGCTGCTCAATTGTATGGGCAAATGGAGCTTTTTGATGGAGGGTGTTAATTACAGGGGCTTCAGGCAATAAGCCTGCTATTCACTTGGGTTTCTCCTAGTGTCTGTAGCTATAGCCCACCCTACCCCACTACACCCTATCAACTTGGGAAAGTTATTCAGATTGTCTAAAAAGACTTGGCCTCTTTTTTAGAGAGTATAAGCTTGACTGTTGGTGTTCTGGAAGACTGATAGAAGGAGATTTCATTTTCTGCTAGGGTTAGCCATATAAAATTGTTTTGTAAGTCAAAAATAGTTGAGTATCTTTATTTTTGGATAATGTGATTATACAGAAAATATTGAAGAAACTACTAAAATTATTAAATGACTATAGTAGCATTGTAGGATACAAAACTAAACAAATGCTTTCTTGTGTGATAGCAAGGAACAGTTGGAATTTGAAATCAAAACACAGTATCATTTACATTAATGAAATGAGATACTTAGGTGGATCAAACAAGATCTGTGGTGTAAGATCTTTGTAAAGAAAACTACCACACTGATACAGGAAATCAAAGATCTACATGAAATGAGAGACATATCACATAAATGGATAGGGAGACTAAGTATTGTCAAGTATCTTCCCAAGTTGATAGATTCACTCAGCCTCAAGCAAAACTGTTAATATGTGTATATGGATAAAGTAATTCTGAGTTTTATATGGAAAGGGAAAATACCCAGAATAGCTGACACAGTACTGAAGGAGAGCAAGGTTAGAGGACTGCGACTACCTGATTTAAGACTTATAAAGCAACACTAGGGGCCTGTGCTGTGGTGTAGTGGGTAAAGCCACCGCTGTAGTGTAGCTGTGGCGTAGTAGATAATGCCACCGCCTGCAGTGCTGGCATCTCATATGGGTGCTGGTTTGAGTCCCAGCTGCTCCACTTCTGATCCAACTGTCTGCTTATGGTCTGGGAAAGCAGTGGAGGATGGCCCAAGTCCTTGGGCCGCTGCACCGGTGTTAGAGACCCGGAAGAAGCTCCTGGTTCCTGGCTTCAGATTGGCAGAGCTCCGCCCATTGTGGCCATCTGGCGAGTGAACCAACGGGTAGAAGAACTCTCTCTGCCTTTCCTTCTCTCTGTATAATTCTGACTTTCAGGTAAATAAATAAATCTTTAAAAGAAAAAGAAAATCAACACTAATGTCATTGATAAGGGAATAAATCAGTGTAACAAAGCAGAATACAGACTTAGATAAATAAAGGCAGTTGATCTTTGACCAAGGAGCAAGGCAATTCGATGGAGAAAGAATAGACTTCAGCAAATGATGCTGCAACAACTGGATGTTCATCTGCAAAATTCAGATCTCAACAGAGGCTTCATATTTCACTCAAAAGTTGGTTAAAATGGATCATAAAGCTAAGTATATCATGTAAATTGAAACCTAGAGATAGCATGGTCAAAAAGCTAGGTGATCTTTAGTTTTGCAGTGACTCAGATACAGCACCAAAACATGATCCTTGAAAGAAAAAAATTGATAATTTGAACTTTGTTAAAATTATAATCTTCAATAAGAGGCTGGCATTGTAGCTTAGTAGGTTAAGTTCTTTTTATACCCTGGCTACCAGATCTTCATCAGATAATGTGTTTTGCAAAGATTATCTCCAAGTCTGCAGTTTATCTTCATTCCCTTAACAATATCTTCCACGTAAGTTTTTTTTGTTTTGTTTTTTTAATTCATTTATTTTTGAAAGTTAGAGGGAGAGACAGAGATCTTCCATCTGCTGGCTCATTCCCCAAATGGCCGCAAAAACCACAGCTGGGTCATTCTGAAACCAGCGGCTAGGACCTCCCATCCAGATCTCCCATGTGGGTGGCAGGAGTGCAGGCACTTGAGCCGTCATCTGTTGTTTCCCAGGAGCATTAGCAGGGAGTTGGGTTGGAAGCACAGTAGCCAGGACTCAAACTGGCACGCTGATAGGGAATTGTGGCTGTCCCAAGAGGTTTCTCAGTCAGCTTCGCCACAGTGCCTGCCCTTGAACATTATACATTGTTAGGTAAATTGCACATTAAAAATAACATACCAATGCATCTTATTAAAATAACTAAAATCCAAAAGACAACACTAAATTCTGGCAAGGATGTAGAGTAACATGAACTCTTATTCATTGCTAATGGAAATGCAAAATGGAAAAACCGCTTTGGGAAACTGGGAATTTCTTACAGAACTATAAATATACTGTTAACATGTGATCCTAAGTTAAAACTTAGATACATATGAAAACCTACATGTGTTTCTAACAGCTTTATTCAGAATTCCCAAAAGTTGGAATCAAGCAAAATGTCAAATATTCGGTGAATGGATAAATAGACTGATAGATTCATATAGTGGAATGTTATTTAGCAATAAAAAGAGCTATCAAGTCATGAAAAGAAATAAAGAACTTAAATGTATATTGTACAATGAAAGAAGCTGATCTGAAATGGTTACATACTGTTGTGATTCCAACAGATGACTTTCTGGAGAAGACAGAACTGTGAAAGCAGTGTATACTCACAGATCAGTGACTGCTAGAAATTCATGAGGAGGGATGGGGGAAGAATGAATAGGTAGAACACAGGGACCCTAAAAAAAAAAAAAAAAAAAAAGATTGTTTTATTTATCTGAAAGGTAGAGTTAGAAATCCTCGATCTGCTTGTTCACTCCCCAGGTGGCCAGGAGCCTGGAACTCCAGACCTTCCATCTGCTGCTTCACTCCCCAAATGACCACAACAGCCATGTCTGAAAAAGGCTGAAGCCAGAAGCATGGAGTATTATCTGGGTCTTCCATGTTGGTGGCAGGAGCCTAAGCACTTTGAACCATCTTCTGCTACTTTCCCAGACACATTAGCTGGACACCAGTATGGGTTTCCTTTTAAAACAGTGAAACTACTCTGTACAATACTGTAGTGGTGGATACATGTTGTACATTTGTCAAAACCCATGCGTTAGTGAATCATAATATGTAAACTACGGATGTTAGTTACTAATAATGTAAGAGGTAAATGTTACGGTACTTTGGGTTAAGCTGCTGCTTGGTGTATCTGCATCCCACATCATAGTGCCAGCTACCCCATGTCCATTCCTGCTTCCTGCTAATGCATCTGGGAAAGGAATAGATGATGGCCCAAGTACTTGGGCCCCTGCCAGCCATGTGCGAGACCAGGGTACAGTGCTTGATTCCTGGCTCCTGACTCCCATTCTGACCCAGGTCCAACTGTTGCAGCCATTTGGAGAGTGACCCTGCAGATGGGAAATCTCCATCTCTCTCTTTCTCAGTCTGCCTTTCAAATAAATAAATCTTTAAATAATAATGTGTGAATATTGGTTTATTAGTTGAGACAAACGCACCACACTGATAGAACATGTTAGTAATAGGGACAATTGAGGAGGTAGGAGTTGTTATATGGCAACTGTGTACATTGTAAATTTTTTTGTAAACCTAAAACCACTCAAAAAAAAGTACTAAGAAGTTGAACATTAGCCATTTCATCCTAAAAGTACAATTATCTCTAGTGTCTATAGATTGTTCTAGAACCCTTGCAGATACCAAAGTCCTCAAATGTTTACATAGCTTCAATAAAATGGTATAATATTTTCATATAACCTATACACATCTTCAATACTTTAAATCAACTCTATTGTATTTATAATACCATTTAAATGTTTTGTAAATAGTTTCCATACTGTATTTTTTGGGTAATAATGATTAAAAACACCTGTCCTTATTCAATGCAGACATAATTTTTCCCCCAAATACTAACATGCTTGGCACTCTGGCAGTGTGTTAGAGAGCTGAGTATACATAGAGCTTCACTGATGCGTGTTTTCAGCCTGGTGCTACCTTTGACTCCTGCCGTGCCTGCTGTCCCTGAGTCTTAGACTGTGGTTCCACTTGTCTAGAGGATAAAACTCCTTTGGTTGTGGTTGGTATCTGCCTGACTGCTCTTGATGGAGAGTAGGAACAGGAGTTGATCTGTTGGTGTGGTTTTTGTGATGCCTGCTCCTTGCAGGGTGTTCTTTACCATTAGCTTCCTTATTGTGTCTGGGTAATCCTTTCACAAGCAGGCACTCAGCTGTTCACTCCACTCTGCTAAGTAATCTACCACATTTTATTGTTTCTTTTTACACAAAGTTTTTTTTTTTTTCACTCAGAAATCTCCCATGTTACCTCCTTTCCTGTTTTTATTTCCAAGATTTACATACTTCTAAGTATTATTTTGATGGGATTTCTGATGAAGAGAAAATTACCTGTCTTCAAACTGGCCAGTGTTGACTGTATTGTTTAACCTCTCTGCTTTCATTTTGGTCACTGAGGATTTGATGAAATTTCATCCTGTTTTCTTCTGTTCTTAATTATTATACCACCTTATTATTTCTGTGTTCCCTTTAAGGCCATGAGCACCTCTGTTTGGGAGGATGCTGTTGAAAATCAGTGTTTCATATGTGACAATACTTCAAATGTTTAGGAAAAATGGTCTCCAGAATCATGGTTGTGAACTGAAGTGTGTATTTTAAAGTTGTTCACAGGGCTCAGAGCTCCTGCCAGAGGATTGTTACTGTTTGGTCCTCCTGGAAATGGGAAGACAATGCTGGTGAGAATTCTTTTCAAATTTGAATATTCTGTTGAGACATTAGGAATAATATGAAATAAATAATATAAATTTTATATTATTCCTGAGTCCATTTATGGCTTGCTTTTTTTCTGTGATACGCTTAAGTTCTTAATGCAAGAATACATGGAAAACCATGCATGTCAGCCTCAGTAATATGTTTTTTGGTTGATTGAATTAAGTGTATATGTTCATTAGTTTCATAAGTAAGATATTAAAATTGTTACCTTAGAAGTCTTACCTTACTATACTGGAATAGCTTTCTGACCCTTGATTATTTATGGCTTTACTGGTTGTGTTTAAATAATCAGTGTTGCACAGATTTTTGTTTTGGTATCCTTTTACCCCACTTTTTTTTTTTTTTAAACCAGGATCAGGGCTGCCTCTTTCCTTTGCATAGCTCTTCTAGATGGGAAAAAACAAACAGCTGATTATCTTCTCCTAACCATCTTTCCAAACTAAGATGATAGTAGCCTTCTCTCTCCCCTCCTCCTCTCCCCCTTTCTTCCTCTCTCCCTCTCTTCCGTCTCTCAGAAGAGGGTGGAAAGAAGTCCAGTTCTTCGAAAACCCTTCCTCATTGCTGAGAAGGAAATGTGTTGATGGCCACTTTGCTGGGAATTTTAAATCATTTAGATTTTTAGAGAATCTCTTCTTGCACTTAGAAATGTTGCTATGTTTTTTAAGATACTGAACTAACATATTTACTATTACAATTTTTAAAGGCTAAAGCGGTAGCTGCAGAATCAAATGCAACCTTCTTTAATATAAGTGCTGCAAGTTTAACTTCAAAATACGTGAGTATTCTTTTTTTAGTATTGTCAAGCTTTAAAATACTACTTCATTGTCACTATGTTAAGTATAAAGGGTAATATTTCACAAAAATATTTTTCTGTGAATCTTATCTTTTATTTACATATGATGCAAATTCAGTTTTTTAAAATATTTTTCTATTTATTTGAGAGGTAGAGCTACAGAGGGAAGGAGAGACAAAGAAAGGTCTTCCAAATAGCTGGAGCCAGGCAGATCCACAACCAGGAGCCAGGAGCTTCTTCTGGATCTTCGAGGCGGGTGCAGGGACCCAAGCACTTAGATCATCTTCTGCTGCTTTCCCAGGCCATAGCAGAGAGCTGGGTCAGAAGATGGGCAGCTGGTACACATATGTGCAGCCGTACCCACATGGGATGCCAGGGCCACACGCAGTGGCTTAGCCTACTGCGCCATTGTGCCGGCCCACGAGTCAGTCTCCAAAGGAAGAAATCATATGTATTTGTTGGGCTCATTTAAGTTAGAGATGTTGGAGTAGACATTTGACCTAGCAGGTAAGATGCCTACCATACCAGATGTGTACTTTATTAGAGTGCCTGGATTTGATCTCCAGTTTGATCCCTTGATTGCAGTTTCCTGCTAATGTGGACCCTAGGAGATTGTGGTAGCTCAAGTAATTATGTTCCTGCCTTCTGCTTGGGAGATCTGTTTTGGATCCCAGCTTTGTCCCAGTCCAGCCCCACCAATTGAAGGCATTTGGGGAGTAAAGCCGTGAATGTGAGCTCTCTGTCTCTCCATCTGTGTGTCTGTCTCTGTGCTACTTAAATAAATTTAAAAATAGATAAAGTTAGAATTGTGGTGTCATATGCTGTATTGGTTTGATAGGGCTGTTTAACAATACAGTATCATAAACTGGCTGGTCTAAATGATAGAAATGTCTTGGCCAGGATCAAAGTGTTGACAGGGTTAGTTCTTTCTGAGGTCTGTGAAGGAGAATGTATTCAGGCCTCTCTTGTAGCTTCTGGTGGTTTTCTGGCAATCTTTGGCAGTCCTTAGGTATGCAGATATATCACTCTGATCCTTTATCTCCACGTGGCATTCTTCCTGTATGCATACCTGTCTTTGCCTTTACATTTTCCCATTTTATAAGGTCACTGTTACATTGGCTCAGGACCCACCTGAGTGACATCAGTGTAAATTGATCATCTGCAAAGAATGTGTTTCTACATCAGGTCACATACACCAGAAACACATTTAGCCCACAAGAAATGCAAGCACTTTCCATTTCAGCTTTAGGTAAAGTGGATATCTCAGGGGCACCACTAGATATTAAAAAGTAGGGCTTGAACTAGATTTCTGATTCTAAAATAAAATATGACAGATCTTCCCTCTTTTCTTTGTTTGAGAGACAGGGAAACGGAACTCCTCTGTCTGCTGGTTCACTCTCCAAATTCTTGGATGAGTTGAGCTCAGCCAGGCTGAATCTGAGAGCAGGTCACTCAGTCTAGGTCTCCCATGAGTGTAGCAGGGACCCGTTGCTTGAGTCGTCCTCTGCTGCCTCCCAGGGTGCACATTAGTAGGAAACTGGAATCAGGAGTAGAGCTTGGACTCCAGCCGAGGCTCTGCAGTGTGTGGGCATCCTCAGCAGCATCAGCTGTACCAAGCATCACCCCCCTCCACCTTCTCTCCATCCCATTTTCTCTAAATTGTTTTGTACTACGATTTAATTTTCTTTCTCTGCTCACTTTCCATTGACCTTATGAGCCACTTGGGCTTAAGGAGAGAAGTTTGGTGTGTAGAACCAGTGTGTGAATAGAATTAACTATACTGCAAAACTGCAAAATAGATAGTGTTGCACAAATTTGTCTTTTTCTCCCTTTCTTTCACTTTTCTGTAGCTGCCCAATGGTGTATTAGTCTCTCTTTGCCCCTTATCAAAACCTTCATGGTTGAAGATGTTTTGACAGATTTGTTTAAAAAGTGAAATGTGAATCTCTGATGGAAGAATGTATTTCCTTGACTTGACTTTGAGTACACTGAGATACACAGTTGGTCATCACATGGGTTTAGGGACAGTTTCTCTCCAAAAGGGGCTCAGAGGGTAGCTTTAGTGCTGTGAATTTGCCACAGTATTCAGCTTTGCTTAGAAAGAAACTTAATTGTTAACAGCACACCAAGAGCAGATCTACGTCTTAGGGACAGGTCAGAATTATCCCTTTGATTTGATGTATAGGAGAAACATACAAGGTTGTTTAATAGGCAGTGAGTTAAAGAAAGGCAGACTTGGGTAGGCATTGTGGCACAGCAGGTTACACAGCTGCCTGCAATACCCACATCCCGTATGAGCACTGGTTTGAGTCTCTGCTGCTCCACTTCTGATTCAGCTTCCTGCTAATGTGCCTGAGAAAGCAGCAAGATGGCCCCCTACTTCAGTCTTGCCACCCAGATGGAGTTCCAGGCTTTTGGCTTCAGCCTGGGCCAGCCCTGGCCATTGCTGTCATTTGGAGATGGAAGATGGATCTCTATTTCTCTCTCTTGCCTTTTTTTTTCCCCCTCCCTCTCTAACTCTGCCTTTCAAATTAACTTTTTTTTTTTTTTTTGACAGGCAGAGTTAGGCAGTGAGAGAGAGAGAGAGAGAGAGAGAGAGAGAGAGAGAGAAAGGTCTTCCTTTCCGTTGGTTCACCCCCCAGATGGCTGCTACGGCCGGCGTGCTGCACCAATCCGAAGCCAGGAGCCAGGTGCTTCCTCCTGGTCTGCCTTGCGGGTGCAGGGGCACAAGGACTTGGGCCATCCTCCACTGCCTTCCCGGGCCACAGCAGAGAGCTGGACTGGAAGAAGAGCAACCGGGACATAATCCCGCGCCCCAACCGGGACTAGAACCCGGGTTGCTGGTGCCGCAGGCGGAGGATTAGCCAAGTGAGCCGCAGCGCTGGCCTTCAAATTAATTTTTTTTTAAGAGGCAAACGACACTTCAGCAATCGTTTGAGTATTTTGTGTCATTGTGCTAAAATAGCCACTGTCTATATCATAGAAATAACACTTCCATTGGAGCTATAGTTTCTCAAATCTGTTTGCTAAGAACCCCTCTCACCTCTGGGCAATTCTTCAAATATGATTAGACTTTTTGCTTCCTTGGGACTTTATCAGGAACACTACTTTTTTCTGGTTATTTGAATTCGTTTTTCAGGTGAATGAATGAGGTCAGGGGAAATGTTAAAACCTTCCCTGAGGCCGGTGCCATGGCTCACTTGGCTGATCCTCCGCCTGCGGCACCAGCACCCCAGGATCTAGTCCTGGTTGGGGCGCCAGATTCTGTCCTGGTTGCTCCTGGCTTCAGATCGGCGCAGCGTGCCGGCCTCAGCGGCCATTTGTGGGGTGAACCAACAGAAAGGAAGACCTTTCTCTCTGTCTCTCACTGTCTAACTCTGCCTGTCAAAAAGAACATCTGATCTGTTTTAATATGCTATTGCTGAATACAAATATAAATACAGGGCATCATGTTCTTGTCTACATAAATCTCTCGTTACAAGTTAGTAATAGTATGTAGATTAAATGTTTACAACATAGGGAATTGTAAATAAATTTATCAGTTCTCCCCCATCCATTTGGTCTTCCACAGCACTATCATTGTCTTTGTGGAAATGACTAATCATTAAAAAAAAATGGATTTCAGCTACAATAAGGTCATAGTGCTATATATCAAATAAAATTAAATATACAAATCAAACCTTCCCTGACCTTGAAACTTAACCCCTTTAAAATTCTCCTAGAATCATTTTTCTCTCATTTGTGATACTGTAGTTATCATAGTTATTGATATGATAAAGTTATTTCAGTTATATCCCATATCAATGTCACCTCCATTGGAAGGCAGTCACCATGAGGACAGGAGCTATTTGCATGCCTTTGATACTGCTTGTGTCCAGAGTACCTGGAGCAGTACCTGGCAGTTAGTAGGCACTAAGTAAGTATTTGTGGGATAAGTAAATAATCATGTGAGGTGTATATGCTGTGTAACCTGTTTTCTCAATTAAGGGAAGGGAGTGAAGAAAAATTCAGTAATGGACTCAGGACCTCATAATCATGAAGGAGGAAACTAGGATTTGAGCTCCAGTGGATTCTGATTTAAGAACTTGAGTCCTTATTCAATATTTTATAGCAACCATTCTTTTAAAAACTTTAAAAATGTATTTTGTTTATTTGAAAGGCACAGAGATACAGACAGGTATCTTCCATCTTGAGGTTTGCTCCCCAAGTGCCTGCAGGAGATAAAGTGGAACTGAATCTCTACATGAGTGGCAGGGACACAAGTAGCTGAGCCATAACCTGCCATCTGCTTTGTTGCACATTAGCAGAAAGCTGGAATTGGGAGTGGAGCCAGGTCTCAAACCCAGGCACTCCAATATGGGATGCGGAGGTCCCACTCGTGTCGTAACTACCCTACTTGTCACCCTATAGCCATTCTTTTTTTTTAAAAAAAGATTATTTACTTATTTGAAAGGCAAAGTTAACAGGGAGGCAGAGACAGAGGTCTTGCATACACTGTTCACTCCCCAAGTGGCCACAATGGCCGGAGCTGCACCGATCCAAAGCCAGGAGCCAGGAGCTTCTTCTGGGTCTTCCACACGGGTGCAGGGGCCCAAGCACTTGGGCCATCTTCCACTGCCTTCTCAGGCCATAATCAGAGAGCCATTCATTTTTATCCATACTTGTTTTCAGAAGTATTTTCTCTCATATTTATTGTTTTTGAAACCGTGTTAAGTCCATGATTTTAGCTCCCAGTCCTGTGATGCCTCTTACATATCTTGAGGCAAGTTTATATTTCAAAAATATTTTTAAAATTTAAAATGCAAGGCCGGCGCCGCGGCTCACTAGGCTAATCCTCCGCCTAGCGGCGCCGGCACACCAGGTTCTAGTCCCGGTCGGGGCGCCGGATTCTGTCCCGGTTGCCCCTCTTCCAGGCCAGCCCTCTGCTGTGGCCAGGGAGTGCAGTGGAGGATGGCCCAGGTGCTTGGGCCCTGCACCCCATGGGAGACCAGGAAAAGCACCTGGCTCCTGGCTCCTGCCATCGGATCAGTGCGGTGCGCCGGCCGCAGCGCGCCGGCCGCGGCGGCCATTGGAGGGTGAACCAACGGCAAAGGAAGACCTTTCTCTCTGTCTCTCTCTCTCACTGTCCACTCTGCCTGTCAAAAAAAAAAAATTTTTTAAATGCAATATTTTAAAATTTTTATATACCAGTGTGCAGAAATCTTTTTTTTTATTATTTAAACTTTTTTTTAATTTTTTTTTAAACTTTTTTTTTTTTTTTTTTTTTTTTTGATAGGCAGAGTGGACAGTGAGAGAGAGACAGAGAGAGAAAGGTCTTCCTTTGCCGTTGGTTCACCCTCCAGTGGCCGCCGCTGCAGCCGGCGCACCGCGCTGATCCGATGGCAGGAGCCAGGATCCAGGTGCTTTTCCTGGTCTCCCATGGGGTGCAGGGCCCAAGCACCTGGGCCATCCTCCACTGCACTCCCTGGCCATAGCAGAGAGCTGGCCTGGAAGAGGGGCAACCGGGACAGAATCCGGTGCCCCGACCGGGACTAGAACCCGGTGTGCTGGCGCCGCAAGGTGGAGGATTAGCCTATTGAGCCTCGGTGCCGGCTTCAGAAATCTTATATATCCTTCCACATATATAGTAACTTAATGTTGTATCTACTTTTTTTTTTCTTTTAGATTAGGTATTACCTGAGTTCTCTTCCTGTGGTTTCATTCCAGTTTGTCAGTATGCTCACAATGTGATAAGAATGAATATTTTACCTCAGATATGATCTTGTTTTTGAAGACATAAAAGAAGGCATTGTTTAATATCATATAAGATGCTCTTTTTTTTTTTTTTTTTTAAGATATTTATTTTATTTGAGAGGTAGAGTTACAGACAGTGAGAGGGAGGGAGCGACAGAGAGGTCTTCTTTTCGTTGGTTCACTCCCCAATTGGCCACCCGGCCAGAGCTGCGCTGATCTGAAGCCAGGAGCTTCCTCCCACACAGGTGCAGGGACCCAAGGACTTGGGCCATCTTCCGCTGCTTTCCTAGGCAATAGCAGAAAGATGGATCAGAAGTAGAGCAGCCGGGTCTCAAACCTGCGCCCATATAGGATGCTGGCACTGCAGGCGGCAGCTTTACCCACTACGCCACAATGCTGTCCCCTCCTCTCTCTCTCTGCATTTACTCTTCTCTCTGCCAACCACTACACTACTAACATCAGAGGCAAAACTAATTTGCCTTTGAGTAGATGCAATGTCAATGTAATCAGAGAGTGTTTTGTGTGTGTTTGGCTTCTGTCATCAGCATTATATGTATGATTTTTATCCAAATGATTACACACAGTTGTAGTTAAATATCTTTACAAGCATACTTAGTTCATATTTTTTTGATTTTTAAAAAACATTTATCTATTTATTATTTGAAAGACAGAGTTACAGAGAGGCAGAAACAGAGAAGTCTTCCACCTGTTGATTCAATCCCCGAATGGCCACAATGATCAGAGCTGAGCCAATCTGAAACCAAGAGCTTCCTCCAGGTGTCTCATGCGGGTGCAGAGGCCCAAGGACCTGGGCTGTCTTCCACTGCTTTCCCAGGCCATAGCAGAAAGCTGGATCGGAAGCCAAGCAGCCAGGACTCAAACTGACGCCCATATTGGATGCTAGCACTGCAGGCGGCAGCCTCACCGCTACTATGGGGCAGGCCCCTAGTTCATATGTTGTTTTTTTTTTGTTTTTTTTTTTTGTTTGTTTGTTTTTTGACAGGCAGAGTGGACAGTGAGAGAGAGAGACAGAGAGAAAGGTCTTCTTTTTGCCGTTGGTTCACCCTCCAATGGCCGCCGCGGCCGGCGCACTGCAGCCGGCACACCGCGCTGATCCAATGACAGGAGCCAGGAGCCAGGTCCTTTTCCTGGTCTCCCATGGGGTGCAGGGCCCAAGCACCTGGGCCATCCTCCACTGCACTCCCTGGCCACAGCAGAGGGCTGGCCTGGAAGAGGGGCAACCGGGACAGAAACTGGTGCCCTGACCAGGACTAGAACCCGGTGTGCTGGCGCCGCAAGGCGGAGGATTAGCCTAGTGAGCCGCGGCGCCGGCCTAGTTCATATGTTTTTAAAGTATTATTTTGTTTATGATTAATTTTTAACTGATATTCACATAAATGTTTTCCACAGTCTACAAAATTTTTGTGAGGTTTGGTCTTCAACATGTCAGTACTAAACTGAAAAATTAGTAATAACAGACACTGATAAAATAATATTCTTTTGTATTCTGTCTGCTAAGTTGAATCTTATTATTATCATTATTTTTGAGAGGCAGAGTGGACAGTGAGAGAAAGGAAGAGAGAAAGGTTGAATCTTTTATTATTTTTAAAGGTTTATTTGAAAGAGTTACAGAGAGAGAGCTCGAGATCTTCCATCTGCCAGCTCACTCTCCAAGTGGCTGCAATGGCCAAGGAATGGGGAAGGCCGAAGCCACAAACTTAGAACTCCGTCTGGGTCTCCCACATGGGTGACAGGAGCCCAAGTACTTGTGCTATCTTCCCTGCTTTCCCAGGTGCAATAGCAGGGATGTAGATCAGAAGTGGAGCAGCTGGGACTGGAACAGGCACTCAAATCAATTGGCAGCTTTACAGGTGGTGGTTTAACCCACTGTGCCACAATGCGGAATCTTTTCTCGATTTTATAAAGTAGTTAAGTAACTATGAAGTAATACTTTTTCCTCATCACATTTTGTTTCCCCTGTGAGATTTTGCAAGTTGTTACTTTGAAATATTTTGTCACAGCAGTATTGTGAAAGTGAGTTTTTAGGATGTTCTTAGTAGAGCAGGTTTGGTTTAGGAGCAAACAATCCAATTTATCTGCTTCTATAAACATACCCTGCAGTCTAGAGTTTAAGGAGTATGTGTAGCATTTCTTTGCCCTAGCCTTCCCTTTGTTCACTAGTTTCACCTAAGAAGTCCCACTCTTAAATGTTAGGAATGCAGGATAAAGGAAAACAGAAATATATCAATTTTTAAACTGCTTATCAATGTCCTTAAAACATAATAAAATAATGGGGCCAGTGCTGTGGCATAGTAGACTAAACCTCCACTTGTGGCATTGGTTCTAGTCCCAGCTACTCCTCCTCTGATCCATCTCTACTTAATTGCCTGGGAAAGCAGTGGAAGATGGTCCCTGCACCCACATGGGAGAACTGAAAGAGGCTTCTGCCTCCAGGCTTCAGATCGGCTCAGCTCGGGCCATTGCGCCATTTGGGGAATGAACCAGCAGATGGAAGACCTTTTTCTCTGTCTCTCCCTCTCTGTATGTAACTCTACCTCTCAAAATAAGTAAATAAAATCTTAAAAAATAATAACACCAGTAAAATACTAAGTTGAAAAAAATCTGCTTAACCCATGCTTAAGGGAAAAGCGTGTTTTCTAAAATAAGGGACAGTTTATTAACACCCTTCCCCTCTCCCCAATTCCTCAAAACAAATCTTTCCTTGCTGCAAAGATAAATTCCTAGGTTCTAGATTTTCAATTATGAAATTTAAAAGACTTGGATTTTGTTAGATTTTATGTGTATATTTTATTATGTGTATTTTATGTGTATAACAGTATATGATGCCTTCCTTTAGGTGGGAGAAGGAGAGAAATTGGTGAGAGCTCTTTTTGCTGTGGCTCGAGAACTTCAACCTTCCATAATTTTTATAGGTGAGACCTTGGTTGCCAACTTTGTTGAATATTTGTGAAATTTCCCTGTATGGAAATGATAGGAATGATTATTCAGAAATAAAAGGTTTAAAGAAGGTATGACTAAAAACTAAGAATTCTGTAGGACCCAATATTTTAAATATTAATAAGCTAAATTAAGCTGAGGTGATGACATGGCTTGACCTTTAATTAAAGTCTGTCCTTGTCTTTGCTGTAGATGAAGTTGATAGCCTTTTGTGTGAAAGAAGAGAAGGCGAGCACGATGCTAGTAGACGTCTAAAAACTGAATTTCTAATAGAATTTGATGGTGTAAGTGTCGATGATATTTTCAATGTAATAGTGTTATTGCATGTGTATTTTCCTACTGAGTGACCCAAAATAGAAATATAAGAAACTTATTATATTTTTCTTTATCTAAAAGTACTGAGAAAAACTTTTTTGGCTTGTAGGTACAGTCTGCTGGAGATGACAGAGTGCTTGTGATGGGTGCAACTAACAGGCCACAAGAGCTTGATGAGGCTGTTCTCAGGTAGGGAGATGGATGTGGAAGCTCACACATCTGTTAAGGACATATTTACTCACATGTTCATGCCACACATTTATGTTACTTTCTTTCCTATTTTATTTCTGGCCTCTGGTTAGACCAGATCCACCATGACATAAGGAAAATTTGGTCTTCACCTTATGGTTTTAGATAAATTACTCTCTGATGCTGGGTTAATTTAAATTATCTTTAATTTCCAAAATTGCTTCTTAGCATCTTTTATTTGGCTTCATGAGAAGCTGGTCAAAGCAGGGTTCATGAGAACTGTTGGATATGTTTCAGCAAATTTATTCCCTTGGTGCTGGAAAAACAATTGGATTCAGCATAAAATTTTCGCTGTTGATTTTCTTCCTAACGAATGTAACTTTGCTCCATTGTTCCTAGGATTGGGCATCAAAAGTATAAAATTCTGAATCCAGGCTTATTTCGCTTCACATCTGTAGATTAACATATTTTTTTCTTTTTGCTAGATATAATTTTTAGTCATAGAAATCCAGTTATTTGAAAAATCTATTGATTGACTTTTGTTTCTTTTCCCTGGGACTTAATGCTTCTTAAATTGATAGTTTAGAATTTCTTTGGGAAAATTTATTTTGAATGCTATTTTTTTTTTAGTTTATTTGCCTGGTTTTTTTCCTTTTGCACATAAATTATGATTGTATTTCATCTTTTTGGCTTCCATAATACTATTACTATTAAGTTCTTAAACTTTTTTGTTATGTTATATCCTGTCTTCCCAAGTCTGTTACTTTTCTTTCTTAATGGGTTAGTATCTGCTCTCCGTTTTACCACTTTTGTAATATTTCTACTTTTGTAGTCTTTTTTTCTGTAGTTCTCTCTTTTCATTGCTTTCCTGACCTGTGCTATATTATTTATCATCTTCTCTTATCTTATTTCTCTGAATCTTTGTATGTCATTTACTTAAGCTCATGCCTCATTGATATCTTGTTTCATAAAAAGATATTTTCTTAATTTTATTTCATGGAAATTATTTCATGGAAATATACTTGGTCATTATTTTAATCTGTATGCAAAGTCTTCTTGTTCATATTCTTCTGTTTTTTGTGGGTTTTGTTCTTCCTCATTTTGGCTTTTTCTTTTTAATGAGTACAGTTCTGTGTGTGTGTGTGTGTGTGTGTGTGTGTGTGTGTGTGTGTTTTAAGAGCTTATTTCTGGTAAATCTAGTTTTAGAAGGATATCCTAGGGGAAAGGGTAAGAAAATAAGAGATTGAGAAAATATGTTGAGTTATCTCTTTGTATGTCCTGGGCTAACAGGTAGTCTAACTCATAGTGCAGCACTTACCTGGTAATGAAGTAAATGTGTATGTAAATAAGAGATAGGGTTGATTTTATTTTTCATTAGCTAAAAATTAGTGGTCATCACAACTAGACAGCTTGTCATCCAGCCAGACTTAAATGCCTTCTTACAGAGATAAAGTGTGTTTGAGATTGTTTGTTCAGCCAGCCTTGCCTTTCCAAGTAGGGTTCACATAGTCTGAAGGTCCTAGCTAGGCATTATCTGTTTGAACGTGGGCAGTTGGTTTAATTTTGCATTGTAATCTGCTGTATCTGTTTCCCTTGGAAAACCGAATTCTGAGAGCCATGTCCATCTCTGCTGTGCAGATCCTGTGTATATCTGCCTTTGTTAGTATACGTTTTGCCATCTATGGCAGCACCTCATGTATTTTAGTTCTACAAATGCTTCTTAGATTGTTGATGGTAAAGTTCATATTTCTGTTAGCCTTTTTAATTTTAGTTGTTCTGTAGAAATCTCTTTATTTCACTTTATTTTTTTGCTTGTAAGCACTACTGCTATTAAAAGCATACATGTATATAAATGATTAGTTTAATTCCAATAGCATTGAATTAAGGAGTTTTAAACATTTGCTAGAGAATTTTTTTTTATTTTTATTTTTTTTTAATTTTTATTTTTGACAGGCAGAGTGGACAGTGAGAGAGAGACAGAGAGAAAAGTCTTCCTTTGCCATTGGCTCACCCTCCAATGGCCGCCCCTGCCGGCGCGCTGGGGCCGGCGCACCGCGCTGCCGATGGCAGGAGCCAGGTACTTCTCCTGGTCTCCCATGGGGTGCAGGGCCCAAGGACTTGGGCCATCCTCCACTGCACTCCCTGGCCACAGCAGAGAGCTGGCCTGGAAGAGGGGCAACTGGGGCAGAATCCGGTGCCCCGACCGGGACTAGAACCCGGTGTGCCGGCGCCGCAAGGCGGAGGATTAGCCTAGTAAGCTGCGGCGCCAGCCCAAGCTAGAGAATTTTAAAAGGATAATTAAAACCATCTTTTTACATTGATACCTAGTAAAATACATTCAGGTACCCTATATTATACTTAAAGCCCTTTTCCTATCATTTGCTGCTTGATCTGAGTTACCTTTAAATTAAAACTTATTTTTCTAAAATTGTTTTAATCCTTTTTTTAGGCGTTTCATCAAGCGTGTATATGTGTCTTTACCAAATGAGGAGGTATGTATCTAAATTTTTTTAGAAGATTTATTTATCTGGATCTTGCATGTGGAGTAACTGGTAAAGCTGCCGTGTGTGACACTGGTATCCCGTATGGGCACTGCTTCTAGACCCGGCTGCTCCATGTCAGATCCAGCTCCCTGCTGACGCACCTGGGAGAGCAGTGGAAGATGGAGTAAGTGTTTGGGCCCCTGTCCCCTTTTGGGAGAACCAGAAGACGCTCCTGAGTCCTGGCTTCAGCCGGGCTCAGCCTAGATTGTTGTGGCCATTTGAGGAGTGAACCAGCAGATGGAAGAACTCTCTCTCTCTCTCTCTCTCTCTCTCTCTCTCTTCCTCTCTTCCTCTCTTCCTCTCTTCCTCTCTTCCTCTCTTCCTCTCTTCCTCTCTTCCTCTCTTCCTCTCTTCTCCCTGCCTCCCTTTTCTCTGTGTGTGTGGTCCTCTCTCTGTAACTCTTTGACTTTTAAAAAAATTTATTTATTTAAGTTATTTGAAATGCAGAATTTGAAAATCTTCTATCTGCCGGTTCATTCCCCAAATGGCTACAGAGGCTGAGGCTGCGCCCAGCAGCTGCCAGGAGCTTCCACTAGGTCTACCACGTGGGTGCAGGGGCCCAAGCACTTGGACCATCCTCTACTACTTTCTCAGGCATATTAGCCGGGAGCTGGATTGGAAATGAAGCAGCTGGGACACAAACCAATGCCCACACAGGATGCCATCATTGCAGGTGGGAGCTTAACCTGCTATGCCACACAGTACTGGCACCTATACTTAAATTTTTTTAAGCAAAAATGTGAATTACCATCTTCTCATCATTGAGTCTCCCAATCCATAGGACAGCCACATTGGAAGACTTTGGTGTTTTCCTATAAAGATAAGTAGAAACTTAATGTAAGATCCAGCATTTCTACTCCTATGAATTGACATAAGAGAAATGAAGACAAGTGTCTACATGCAGACATGTACTAGTATTTTTAGCAGCAATATTAATAATAGCCAAACACTGCAAAGAAACTAAAATGTTCATTAGTTGGTGAATGGATAAACAAATTTGATAGAGAATTCTTAGAATGAAATTCAAGTGTTAATAAATACTTTGAGCCACAAGTGAGAGGTTCACATGATGAGACTTTGTTTCATGCACAAGATTATTTAAATATGTATAAAATTACATTTGGCTGTGCGTATAGGGTATGTATGAAGCATAAATGAATTTCGTGTTTAGTGTTCAATCCCATCCCAAGACATCTCAGGTATGTATATGTGTTTCAAACTCCAAAACTCTTCTGGTCCCAAGCACTAAGGGAAACTCAGCCTGTGTACCACTTAACAGATATTGTTCAGCAATGAAAGGAAGGAGCTATAGATGCTATTTAGCGCAATATGCTTGAAACTTAAAAACATGCTAAGTGAAAGAAGCCAGACACAATTACATATCATATGATTCCACTTACATGAAATACCCAGAAAAGACAAATTTGGAAAGACTTAAAACAGACTGCTAGTGTGCAGGATGAGAATGGGAATCAATTGCGAACCAACATGAATGAACTTTTGGGGTGAGAGGAATGTTGTGAAACCACATTATGGGGGTGGACCTTGGTGCAGTGTTAGATACCTGCTTGGGAAGCCTACATCCCATGTCAGCGTGCTAAGTCTCAGCTCTGTTCTTAATTCCAACTTGCTGCTCATGCATACCCTCAGAGGCTGCAGGTGGTTCTCTAGATCCTTAGTATCCTTGATACTTTCAGCAGCTACTGCCTCAGTGGTTTGTTTGGATTACCTTCCTTAATTCCCTCAGTAACTCTCCTAATAGACATGAATGAGGCTTCAAGGTGACAATCAGGATTTGAATCTGATATCTGCATATTTTATTAAGCTGATGATTAACTTATTAAGATTAATTCTGATAATAAATTATGTAGGACTCATGATTATTTAATATTTTTTTCAGACAAGACAACTTTTACTTAAAAACCTATTATGTAAGCAAGGAAGCCCATTGAGCCAAAAAGAACTAGCGCAACTGGCAAGGTGAGTGATCTGATTTGGATTATCTTTCAGCTGCTATTTAGTCTGGTTCTCAACTTACTCCAAAGCAGAGTTAGAGAGAGGAGAGAGAGACAGAGAGAAAGGTCTTCCTTTTCCATTGGTTCATCCCCCAAATTGGCAGCTGCGGCCAGCGCACCGCGCTGATCCGTAGCCAGGAGCCAGGTGCTTATCCTGGTCTCTCATGCGGGTGCAGGGCCCAAGGACCTGGGCCATCCTCCACTGCACTCCTGGGCCACAGCAGGGAGCTGGACTGGAAGAGGAGCAACCAGGACAGAATTTGGCGCCCCAACCGGGACGAGAACCCGGGGTGCCGGCGCCACAGGCGGAGGATTAGCCAAGTGAGCTGCAGCGCCAGCCTATCTTTCAGCTTTTATTTATTTAATTTTTACAGTGAGTTCTTTGTTCTATGTTAGAGTAAACTGACATACGTAATAAAGAATTCATTTATCAGAAAACTTCTTTTGGGGCCGGTGCTGTGGCATAGTAAGTAAAGCTGCAGCCAGTGGCGCTGGCATCCCATATGGGCACTGATTCAAGTCCCAGCTGTCTTACTTTCTATCCATCTGCTGATGGCCTGGGAATGCAGTGAAGATGGCCTGAGGCTTGGGCCCCTGCACGCAAATGGGAGACCCAGAAAAAACTCCTGGCTCCTGGCTTCAGCCTGGCCCAGCTCTGGCCATTGCAGCCATTTGGGGAGTGAACCAGCTGATGGAAGACCTCTCTCGTTGTATCTTTCCCTCTCTCTCTCTCTCTCTGATTTTCAAATAAAAAATTAAATCCTTAAAAAAAAAAACTTCTTGTGTTGGAATAGACATTTGTTACAGCAGTTAAGATGCTGCCTGGGATGCCCACATCCTGTATCAGAGTGCCTGGGTTCGAGTCCTGGCTCTGTTTCTGAGTCCAACTTTGCAACCCTGGAATCCTGCTAAACATGTTGGAGACTGAATTGAGTTCCAGGCTCCTGGCTTTGGCCTGATCTAGCTCCACCTGTTGCATTGGGATCTGGAGAGTGAACCAGTGGGTGGAAGATCTTTCTTCACACCCCTGTGTATATGTTTGTGTGTGTGTATGTATGCCTTTCAAGTAAAGAAAAGTAAGCATAATTTCTTCCCCCCGCTCCGCCCCCAAAGATTTATTTATTAGAAAGTTCAAGTTAGATAGAAGGGGAGAGGGAGAGAGACAACGTCCAACCATTGATTGGTTCACTCTCAAAGTAGACACAATGGCCAGGGCTGAGCCAGGCCAAAGCCAGAGTCAGGAGCTTCATCTGTGTCTCCCATGTGGATACAGGGGCCCAAACACTGGGGCCATCTTGTGCTGCTTTTCCCAAGCCACTAACAGGGAGTTGGATCAAAGGAGAGCAGCCAAGACACAAGCTAGTGCCCATGTAGGATGCTGCCATCCCAGATGGCACCTTTAGCCACTATGCCACAATGCCACCCCTCATAAATAATTTCGTTAAAAAAAGAGAAAACTTCCTGTCTCATTCTCTGCCTCCTTTATTTCTTTTTTAAATTTTTTTTGACAGAGTGGACAGTGAGAGACAAAGGTCTTCCTTTACCATTAGTTCACCCTCCAATGGCCGCTGTGGCTGGCGCGCTGCAGCCAGCGCACCACGCTGATCTGAAGCCAGGAGCCAGGTGCTTCTCCTGGTCTCCCATGGGGTGCAGGGCCCAAGTACTTGGGCCATCCTCCACTGCACTCCTGGGCCAGAGCAGAGAGCTGGCCTGGAAGAGGGGCAACCGGGACAGAATCCGGCGCCCCAAGGCGGAGGATTAGCCTATTGAGTGTGCTGGCGCCACAAGGCGGAGGATTAGCCTATTGAGCCGCGACGCCAACCTTCTTTACTTTATTTCTTACCTCTTAATATACATATGGTATCTAAATTTTCATTTCTATGTCCTGTAGAAAACATGACCTAAATATCTGATGATGGTATTATATCATTTTTAAAATTCATTAAATCTGAAAGTGATATTACTAATTTTTCAGTTTAATGCATCTGATATTTGCCATACTAACATAGATATTTTCACATGAATTTTATTCTTTTTAATTATTCAGAATTCTTTACTCTTTTCTATCTTAAAAATATTTTATGAACAGACTGCATAAGTATAACCAGAATATGGGAGATGCAATCCTGAATTTTAGTCACTCCAAAACAACATAGAATAATGTATAGTAGTGAACAAATATGTGAATACCAAGTAATTTTATTAAGAAACCTAATTTCGGCCGGCGCTGCGGCTCAATAGGCTAATTCTCCGCCTGCGGTGCCGGCACCCTGGGTTCTAGTCCCAGTCCGGGCACTGGATTCTGTCCCAGTTGCCCCTCTTCCAGGCCAGCTCTCTGCTGTGGCCTGGGAGTGCAGTGGAGGATGGCCCAAGTGATTGGGCCCTGCACCCACATGGGAGACCAGGAGAAGCACCTGGCTCCTGGCTTCGGATCAGCGCGGTGCGCCGGCCGCAGTGGCCACTGGGGGTGAACCAACGGAAAAAAAGGAAGATTTTCTCTCTCTGTATCTCACTGTCCACTCTGCCTGTCAAAACAAAACAAAAAAAACCTAATTTCCCAGATTGCTATGAAGAATGAGTTAAACACCTGTCAAAGTAGGGGCTGTTCCTTGTCTTGCCCATGAAGAATTCTGCCAATAATGTTTGATCTTTATTGTTTAACATACTGTATAATAAGTAAATGCTTTTTCCCCTTTTCCCGTTCACCTCTTAGTTTCCTCTTCCTCTTTGCTTTCCTCATTTCCTTATTCTTTTTATTTATTTATTTATTTATTTTGAAAGACAGAGACAGTAAGAGAGATTTGCCATCTGCCAATTGGCTCCACAAATGCCCACATAGCCAGGGCTAAGGCAGCACAAAGCCGGAAGCTCGGAAGTGAATCTGGGTCTGTCTCTCTTGTGGGTGGTAAGGACCCAAATACTTGAGCTATCACCTGCTGCCTCCCAGAGTGCACGTTAGCAGGAAGCTGGAATTGGGAGCAGGACCAGGACTAAAATCTGACACTTCACTGTGGGATGCATGGTATCCCAAGGAGCATCTTAAGTATGATGCCAAATTCCTCATCCCCTTTTACTAATCTCAGTTCCCTTTGATATTCTCTTGGCTGCCCAGGACTTTTCAGTGCAGAATACTATTCAGGTGTGCATCTTTGGGCCAATATTTTATACCCACCCCTTTCTTTGATTCTGTGTGCCCTCCTCTTAAATTACATAAATTTCCTCTTATTCCATCAAGAGAGTGCTCTTTGTCAGGCTGAAGACTAATTATAGAAAAGTAATTGCAGTTAAATGTCAGTTGACTTCCAGGGGCTTGTAGATGTTAGCTTTCCAGGGGACATAATTGAATGGGCCCTCCTGGAGATGGCATGCCTCATCTAAAGCAATAGTTCTGATGATGAAAATCGGAGGCATTATAAGGAACTAGCAGTAGACTGTTTTGGTTTTAGTAAAGGGACCATTCTGTGCCCTGACAATCAAACATAAACCCTGTTAGCTTGCTAATGGCAAAGGCAAACTAGTTTTCACCATCCTACTTACATGAGATTTTAACTTAGCCAAGATGCAAATAATGTGCGGGGCTGGATGTTTGTCCTGGCGGTTAGGAAACCATCTGGGACACCACCTCCCATGTCAGAGAACCTGAGTTTGAGTCCCAGCTCTGCTTCCAATTCCAGCTTCCTACTCAAGTGCGCCAAAAAAGGCAACAGGTAATGCTCAAGTAGTTGGGTCCTGCTACCCACTTGAGAGACCTAGATTGGATTCCTAGCTCCTAGCCTGTCTCAGCTCTGATAATTATGGACATTTTGGGAATGAACCAGCAGATATTAGCTCTCTGTTGTGTCTGTGAGTCTGTTAAACAATTTTTAAAATAATGTGGTATTTCTTTCTTCTTCTCAGAATGACTGATGGATACTCAGGAAGTGATCTGACAGCTTTGGCAAAAGATGCAGCACTAGGTCCTATCCGAGGTAGGTGTACAGAACTTGAATATTTGGAACTATTTATTACACCACTTCAGAAGTTTGAGAAATTTCCACAAAAGGATCTTTTTTTTTTTTATTTTGAGTATGAAAGCAATATAGATTTATCAATGGAAAGCTTCCTACAAGTAGTTTCTAAATTAAGGATCAATAAGAAAATATCTTGGGCTTTGTGGACCACATATGATCTTTGTTGCATAGTCACCTTTTTTTTAAACGACTGTTTAAAAATATAAAACTGGGGCTAGCGCTGTGGTAAAGCCCCGGCCTGCAACACTGGCATCCCATCTGGGGACCGGTTCAAGTCCCAGCTACTCCGCTTCTGATCCAGATTCCTGCTAATGCGCCTAGGAAAGCAGCAGAGGATGGCCTAAGTGCTTGTGCCCCTGCACCCACATGGGAGTTCTGGAGGAAGCTCCTGGTTCCTGGCTTTGGATCAGCTCACCTCCAGCCATTGTGGCTGTTTGGGGAGTGAACCAGTGGATGGAAGACCTCTCTGTTTCTACCTCTCTCTGTAACTCTATCGTTCAAATAAATAAAATCTTTTAAAAATATATATAAAACCATTGTTAGCTCACAGACCTAACAAATAATCTATGAGCCAGAGAAGCTTGATGACTCCTGTTCTAGATGACAAGTTGTACTTCTTCATAGTTGGTGAGCAGCAGAAATTTGAGGGGAAAAAAACTTTTTTCTTTAAATTTTTTTTCTGAAAAGCAGAGAGACAGACAAAGATATATCTTCTACCCGCTGATTTATTCCTCAAATGTCTAAAACAGCTTGCTCTTGACCAGGCTGAAACCAGGAGCCTGGTCCTCAACCTACATCTCATGTGGGTGGCGGGCATCCAGGTACTTGAGCCATCACCTGCTTCCTCCAGGGATGAACATTAGCAGGAAGCTGGAATTCAAAGCCAAGTTGATGCTCAAATTCAGGCACTCCAATATGGGATGTTGGCATCCAAGCAGCAGTTTAGTCTTAGCAAGCAGAGAAGAGTAATACTTGTAAAGGGGGCAAAGTGGTGCAGCAGGTTAAGCCACCACTTGGGATGCTGGCATCCTAATTGGAGTGCCCATTGAAGTCCTGGCTACTCGGCTTCTCAACCAGTTTCCTGCTGAAGTGCCTTGGGAAGGTAATGGAAGATGACTCAGGTACTTGGATTCTTACTACCTATGTGGAAGACCAGGATGGAGTTCCTGGTTGGTAGCTCTGGCCTGGCACAGATGTGGCTTTTATAGCACCTATTCCAGAAGTGAATCAGCATATGGAAAATCTGTCAGTCTCTCCCTCTATAACTCTGCTTTTTTGAATAAATAAATCTTTTTTAAAAGGGGAAGTGGACTTTACCTGTTTTCTGGCTCTTTTTCTTTCAATGTTCTAATATTTAAAAATATTAATGTATCTAAAGGAACTTAAATAAAAAGTTTTTATTTTTCTTACTATGTTTGACGATTTGCAGCAAAATATTCATTGCTCTGTTTTGATTCAAATTAATTTGTTGAATGTGTAATATCACAACTGATTGATTCTGTGAAATGCACTGTGATACCACTTTTTTTTTTTATAAATATTAGCATCTTATGCCTTCTCTTCTGAAGTTTGCTTTTTTTTTTAAGATTTATTTATTTGAAAGTCAGAGTTACACAGAGGAGCGAGAGAAAGAGAGAGGTCTTCCATCCACTGGTTCACTCCCCAGTTGGCCGCAACAGCTGGAGCTGCACCGGTCCAAAGCCAGGAGCCAGGAGCTTCTTCTGGGTCTCCCATACAGGTGTAGGGGACCAAGCACTTGGGCCATCTTCTACTGCTTTCCCAGGCCATAGCAGAGAGCTGGATCGGAAGGGGAACAGCCGGGTATCGAACTGGTGCCCATATGGGATGCCGGCACTGAAGGCCAGGGCGTTAACCTGCTGCGCCACAGCACCAGCCTCTGATATCAGTTTAGAGTAGACGTTGTCATCTACCTGTCCATAGCCAGCAGGGACAGTGGATAGGTGATGCGGTCAGATATGCACTCAGCAATATTGACTGTGATGATAAAATAGAACATGTAGTTTCAGAAGCACTAGTTAGGTCTCTACCCTTTTTCTCTCACTCAGAGTACAATGGAATGCAATTAAATGAGAAAGATGTCATTTCTGCCATAATTTGTGTTAAAAGCCTATATCATACCAAAACTTTTTGCTTTCTTTAATACTGGTACATATTTCCCACAGTGAAACTACTGATTTAGAACTGCTGCTTTGGAAAATAAACCATGTAACCTTGAGAATGTATTTTGAAACTCTGGTTAAACAAACTCTTGCAGCCAATTGCATGAAATGCTATTTAGTTTGCGGACTCAAAAAGAATAGCTAGGGGCTGGCGCTGAGGCACAGTGGGTTAAAGCCCCAGTGGCGTATGGGTGCTGGTTCAAGTCCTGTTGCAGCCACTTGGGAAATGAACCAGCAGATAGAAGACCTCTTTCTCTATCTCCACCTCTCTCTGCCTTTCAAATAAATAAAATGAATCTTTAAAAAAAAGAATAGCTAATGTATGAATCTTTCTTTTTTTTGTAGCTATTATCTGAAGCAGACAAAAGTTTTGGGATAAAAATGTCAAAGTAATGCCTTTTGTAAAGAACAAGTTAAGAACAAGTTACATCCTTTTAAGGTCACTTTTTTTTTTTTTTTTTTTTTAGATTTATTTATTTATTTGAAAGTCAGTTACATATAGAAGGAGAGGCAGAGAGAGAGAGGTCTTCCTTCTGCTGGTTCACTCCCCAGTGGGCCACAGGAGCCAGGAACCAGGAGCTTCTTCCGGGTCTCCCATGTGGGTGCAGGGGACCAAGGACTTGGGCCATCCTCCACTTCCTTCCCAGGACACAGCAGAGAGTTCTGTTGGGAGTTGAGTAACTGGGACTCAAACCAGCGCCCACATGGGATTCCGGCCCTGGAGGCGACGGTTTTACCTGCTATGCCACAATGTTGGCCCCAAAGGTCACTTGAAAATTAGTGAAGTCTGTTCTTTTGTGCAACAGTGCAGGAAATTGAATCCCTTTCAGTTATTCCTCAGAAGGAATATTATTCTGTTGTAAGCACTAATAAATTTTTTGTACCCTCAGTGTTAATGTGTCTCTTTTAATGTAATGACTTACAATGAATGGATTCTTTTTGATCATTTACTAGATTTTACCCTGCAGCAATTTAAACTTCAGAATCTTCTCTTTTTTTTAAGTGCCTGCCTTTTTCTATTTTACAGAACTGAAACCGGAACAGGTAAAGAACATGTCTGCAAGTGAGGTATGCCACGAATCAGTTGTGTCCATTACATGGTGTTCTGTATTATAATACCTGCAATTTTTCACTTGGATTTTTTTTGATGTATTTAATTAGACCCTAGAAAAGATTGACGGCTTCATTTCAGAATAGGATGGCCTATGAAATTATTCTCTTATATTCTTCCGTAGAGGAGAAAAATATGCATATTCATTAATTTTCTTATCCAATCACGTAAAAACTAAAAATCATTAAACATTTGAGGGTTTTATACATTGTGAAAATAAACTTTTTTTAAAAAAATAAGATTTATTTATTTATTTGAAAGGCAGTTGGCTGGCGCCGCGGCTCAATAGGCTAATCCTCCACCTAGCGGCGCCGGCACACCAGTTGGGGCGCCGGATTCTTTCCCAGTTGCCCCTCTTCCAGGCCAGCTCTCTGCTGTGGCCCGGGAAGGCAGTGGAGGATGGCCCAAGTGCTGGGCCCTGCACCCCATGGGAGACCAGGAGAAGCACCTGGCTCCTGCCTTCAGATCAGTGTGGTGCGCCGGCCGCAGCGCGCCAGCCGTGGCGGCCATTGGAGGGTGAACCAACGGCAAAAGGAAGACCTTTCTCTCTTTCTCTTTCTCTCACTGTCCGCTCTGCCTGTCAAAAAAAAAAAAAAAAAAGGCAGCTACAGAGATGCAGAGGCCAGGGTGGGGGTGGGGTCTTCCATCTGCTGGCTCACTCCACAGATGGCTGCAATGGCCAGAGCTGCACCGGTCCAAAGCCAGGAGCCAGGAGCTTCTTCTGGGTCTCCCACGTGGGTGCAGGGGCCCAAGGACTTGGGCCATCTTCTACTGCTTTCCCAGGCCATAGCGGAGAGCTGGATCGGAAGTGGAGCAGCCGGGACTTGAACTGGCGCCCATATGGGATGCCGGCACTGCAGGTGCCTGCTTTACCCACTACACCACAGCACCGACCCCCTTCCCTTTTCTTTTAAAGATTTATTTTACTGGGGGTGGCGAGTAATATGAGTGTTGATTCATGTCTTGGTTGCTCACTTCCCATCTACTTCCCTGCTGTTGGCCTGAGAAAAGCAGTGGAAGATGGCTGAAGTGCTTGGGCTCCTGGTGCACATATGGGAGACCCAGGAGAGCTCCTGGCTACCACCTCGCCCAGTGCTGGCCATTGTGGCCATATGGGTAGTGAACCAACAGATGGAAGATCTTTCCCTGTCTCTCCGTCTCTCTGTCTCTAATTGACTCAAATCTTAAAAAAGATATATTTGAAAGGAACAATTAGATCCTCTCACATGGCTGCAGTGGCCCAAGGACTTGGGCCGTCTTCTGCTGCTTTCCCGGGCCATAGCAGAGAGCTGGATGGCAAATGGAAGAACAGGGACTTGAACTGATGCTCATATGGGATGCCAGTGTTGGAGTGGCAGCTTTACCTATTGAGCCACAGTTGCTGGCCCAATGGCCCAATTTTCTACAGGGGTTGGTAATTTTCACACAGAGAATAAATATATTTAAGTACAATTTGGAAGTCTTTTTTTCTTAAAGTTTCTGAGAAAACTTGAAATGATCTAATTAGGCATTTTGTGTATTGTGGTTAACAGCTATATTATTGAAAAACCCATAAACTTCTTGCATGTTTCTTCCCAAGTTAAATACTCTAGTTATCTCAGGGTGTGTTTGGTATGAGTAAAGCTTAGGAAAAGAATTCCAAATACACACTTTGGTGATTAGCTACTGTTACCTTAAAAATCCACATTTAAAGTATAAGCCTCAAGTCCATTTTCTCTGATTCATAATTTTTTAAAAAGATTTAATTGGTTTATTTATTTGAAAGAATTACAGAGATTGATCTTCCATCCTCTGGTTCACTGTCCAAATGGCTGCAACAGCTGCGGCTAGGCGAGGCTGAAACCAGGAGCCAGAAGCTTTATCAAGGTTTCCCACATGGGTGCAGGGGCCCAAGCACATGGGCCATCTTCTGTTGCTTTCTCAAGCACATTAGCAGGGAGCTGAATCAGAAGCAAAACAGCAAGGACTTGAACCAGTGCCCAAGTGAGATGCTGGCATCACAGATGACAGCTCAACCTGTTACGCCACAATGCCAGCCCCTTGCCTTGTATTAAGATTTTTGTAAGGCATATAATCTAGCAAGCTTAATATTTCTTCTGGAATATAGAAAATGTATTAAGATGATTGACTTGATTTTCTAAGAATTTGTTTATGCATGTTTATTGTAACAATAATAAATAGCAACATTGTTAACTTTAATCCATTCTTAGCTACCAACTGTTCATCATTTGTATGTCATTTTTAAAATCTAGATGAGAAATATTCGATTATCAGACTTCACTGAATCCTTGAAAAAGATCAAACGCAGCGTGAGCCCTCAAACTTTAGAAGCATACATTCGTTGGAACAAGGACTTTGGAGACACTACCGTTTAAGGAAACACCTTTGTAAGCCTGCAGAACATACAGCAAGCAAGCAAGAAAGGATCTGCATTGAACAGTTGTCAGCTATTGAAGCTTGACCTAAGTTTACAGGACTTGAGTCTTAAAAATGATTTGTACACCAAACTTGAAGATGAGCCAGAACACAAGTTTAAATAAAATTCAAAATGCAAATGGAGTATTTTGTTGTTTTAAGGCCTTCTTGCCTTGATGGTCCTGATTATTCCAGTGGACACTAAGTTAGAGCACAACAAAGACTGATTCTGGTCGTCTTTTCCAATATAATCATAATGTAAATAATAATTTGTATATGTGTTGCAGATGAAAGTATTCCAGAGACCGTGAATGGTAGAAGACATAAGAGCCTTTGTTTGTCATCTTTTTTTTTTCCCTTAAAATTGTAGTTTTTCTTATTTTGCTTTCCTGCTGTTTGTCTTAACTATGGGTGATTGGAATGCCAACCACTCTTAAATTGGTTTGTTTTCTTTTACAATTACAGTGTGCCAAATGAAACTTTTTCCTAAGTAGTAGTAATAGGAAAAAGTTATTTTGAAGGTTTTTTTCTTCATAAATTTACAGACCTTAAACAATTGTTGTGATCTTTTCACTTTTTATTTTTCTATTCCCTTGCTACCAGTTAGAAAGCAATATAATAGCATCAAAGCAAATCTGGCGAAATGCAGATGGTTTAAAAGCTTGAGTTACTCTGTCATATAACATGTAGATCAGTCCTCATGTGACCTGCAGTATTTTTTTTCTAATATACTTGTCAGAAATCTATTGTAGACTGTTAACTTATTTCTAATGGAATTTATTTTCTGCTAGAATTACTCAAATATTTAAGAGGGCCAATTTTAACTGCTGTAAAAGTGGTTCTAGTGCAAGCAAAGGGAAATTCTGGGAGCTAGGACATTTCTAATTTATTGCTTATTACCTTCTTACTGTTTACAGGATAATTATAAGCCAGTGAAACTACCATCTTTTATTCTTAAAAATGAGTCCCTTCAATGAAACTTTAAAAAAAATACTGAATTTTTATACATTGCATACATTTTATAGTTTCTTGTGCTCACTTTATTACTAAAAAATTCTAATCTGTTGATCTTCCTTTTGTTCCCCAGAAATGTACAATATTGTTTCTTGTTTGTATAAATATGCCTGGTTTTTATTATAAAGATGTCATTGTAGAAAGTAGAAACTCATATCATGGCCTTTTAAATATTATAATAAAGGCAAATGGATATTTGCCCTTAGTTTACTGGTTAAAAGCTTGTTTACAGAACTTTTCTTTGGTGCTTAAATGATGCTATGTAAAATGTCATGGGTAAAAAGAATAATTTTATAGTAGTAGCAGACTTTTCAAAAGATGTCAGTGGTTTTAAGAAAATATATTAAAATTAGAAACTGGACCTACTATAGAAGAATTCTAAAATGAAGACATTATACATTCTTTTTAAGTTAATCTTGTTCTTGTTAAAGATTCATTGAAATATAAATGTATGATTTCTTAAGATCATGTATTCTTTGTACCCATAACTTACAACATGTCTCTTCTAATCATAGAATGTCCTGCATAATAAAAAAAAGAGCTGAGATAAAAAAAAAACCTAAGCCATAGCTATGCATATATTAGGGTTTGTTGTATCTTTTTTTAATATCACAAACATTAAAGCATCACTTATAAAATACTGATAAATGAAAGATGTTGATGAAGTACACATGATGAGAAGAATTGGGAAAATATAAAATCACATTTTTAGTAAAGTTTAAAAATTTCATTTATAGAGGAATTAACATTCTTAATGTTTAGAAAACAGGCTAATCATGTGAAAAGACTGTTTCCAGCTCAACTTTTAAAATACAATCTCCTTGAAAATTGAGTGTTCTATTTGGAAAGTTTTTAGAAAACATAGGTGTTAAATGTTGCAAGATGTGAAGAGTTAATATTGTCACAAACATTGAGTCAAATTATATTATTGTAAAAATATCCATCTATGTTTAGAAGTTTCTTTACTGATGAAGTAAAGACTAGTGCTGGAAGACTGTTTGCTCTGAGTTAGTATGACCAAGTTTAATTTTAAGTTGTGGGTTTTTTTTTTTTTTTTTTTCATAAAAAGGCCATGAAAATAGAGTAATAATATAGTAGGAGGTAAGGGGTAAGTTTGCCTTTTTCAGTAAAGGTAGAGTTGCTGAGGTTTTCTGGATTAATATTAGATTTAGATTGTGACCTTTTAGATTTTGTATTGCACTCTGTTGTATTATCTCCTAAAACATAATTCTTAAACATTAAGCATCAATGTGTTCTTCATGTTAATATGGCAGAGTTTTGTAAACTAAATTAAAACTTACTGATGTGCAAGACATTGAGCCACAGGAAAGAATCAATGTCATCTTCCCAGTTGTGTTAAGGTTAAAACTTATTCTAAGCTGTCTGCCTTTTCAGGTTCTTAGGTCATGGCCTGCAAGGATACTTTGTGCTGGAGACAAATTGGAGGTCAAGCAGATACCAGAATTCTAATTTAAGTGTGTATACAGAAGTCCTTGTTTATAGTGTAAAATTGTTCATATTTTGTACAAAACTAATTCTTTTTGAAAAACGAAGCATTTACAGTTTGTTTTTGGACTCCTAGTCAAAGGATTTTCCTTTAAATGCCTGTCTTATTTTAGTCTAGTCTTTTGTACTTTTCCTCAGAAGAAATGAATTAAAGGGTATGTGTAGCCACATTTTTCCTAATGGATTGGGAATAAATGCTCAACTTTATTTCGCCTTTAGTTTTTTTTTTTTTAATTTAAAACTTGATATTTCAGGGGTTGCAGTTTAATAATGAAGAAGGGAGTATCTTGTATCTGACTGACTTGTAGACAACAACAGGTAGAAGCTCTTGGAGAAAATGTAAAGAGCAATGATTAGAAGACTGGAGAGCAACCCAAACCAGGCCGGAACTGTGCAAAATCCTGTGTGAGAATTAGAGATTCATATTAACTGACTGCAGCCTTAGGGAAATTTCCAATTTGTATAGTTCACTCAGGAATTGCAGTAGAATGGGACAGTGTTGCTAGGCTGAGCAGTCATTGAGCTTCTAGAACAGCTGGAAATCTTGAGGCGGCTTCAGAGAGCAGACAGCCCAAAATCTACATTAAGAGCCTTGGTGGATTCAGAAATTCAACATGTACAATGTGATATTTAAGGGAACCCAGCCAAAAAAAAGTAGCTGCTTGAGGATACAGAGTTTGAAATTCAAGTTCCACTAAGAGGAGTTGAGTAAATACTTTGTGTTTCTCATTGAAATCCAGAAAGGACCATGTGTTAGCACTGACATTCTTAAACTAATGACAAAATGGAAAAGTCAGTGTAACAAAGCTTGAAATCAAACCTTCACAGCATCAAGAAAACGGTTTAAAAGAATGATGATTTGGTGGGTGCCGTGGCTCACTAGGCTAATCCTCTGCCTGCCACGCCGGCACCCTGGGTTCTAGTCCCGGTTGCTCCTCTTCCAGTCCAGCTCTCTGCTGTGGCCCGGGAGTGCAGTGGAGGATGGCCCAAGTGCTTGGGCCCTGCACCCTCAAGAGAGACCAGGAGAAACACCTGGTTCCTGGCTACAGATCAGTGTGGTGCGGTGGCTGCAGCGTGCCAGCCACAGCAGCCACTGGGGAGTGAACCAATGTAAAAAGGAAGACCTTTCTCTCGGTCTCTCTCACTGTCCACTCTGCCTGTCAAAAGAATGATGATTTGAAGTGACACAAACCAGGTTGAAGGGGCTACCTCTGGACAAATTTGGAACAGTTAGATGTCAGACAATAAATCATGAACTTGTAGAAATATAAATGCATACATGCAAAAATTATAAGTATGCTGAATGGTGGTCCTTGTACAGTCGGTCAAGCCTTGCTTGGGGTTAAGTCCCACCTCCTTTCTATCTGGCTTCCTGCTAATGGGCCTGGGAGCCAACAGATGAACTAGCAGGTGGAAGATTTTATGTCACCCTTGCCTTCGCTCCCATTCTGCCTTTCAAATAAATAAACCTGGGAAAATGTTTGATGCAGAATGAGATGTTTGGTTTCAAAGTGTCTCCCCACCGGGGAGGGGTGCTCTGGGTCCCACAGCATCCTGGGCAGGGGCTGCTCCCAGGCCAGGTGCAGCACCTGCTTCCCGGGCAGCCTGTCCCCTGACCACTTGAGACCGAGCAGCATCCCAGCCAGCAGACCCCTCATGTGTGCTGGAAGTTCCTGACATCCTTGGGACAGCTTTCCAGAGCATATCTAGCATGAAACCTTTACTGTTCTTTCTCACAGCCCTCCCTGAAGGTGCCATTTGCTGTGTGCTCAGCTCTCCCTCACAACTGGGAAGAAGGTGCTCTTTCCATGGGTGGAATAGAAGAATGGAAGAGCCAGGGTGCGGGATGAGTCCAGACCCGGCCAGGCCTCAACGTCAGGCAGCGCTGGACTCAGGATAACTCATGTTTGAACTGAATTTAGAACACAGGCAGGAAGCTATATTGGGGTGGTTGCATCCTGCAGATGCATCTTGTGAACTTTTTTTTTTTTTTTTTTTTATGAGAAGCCAGAGAAAGGAGGAAGAGGATTCCAATCATTCACTCTCCATGCCCAGACTGGGCAGGACTGAAGACCAGAACCAGAAACTGAATCGAGGCCTCCCATGTGGGTAGCAGGAGCCCAGTCACCTGAGCCATCCCTGGCTGCCTCCCAGGGTCTGCACCAGCAGGAAGCTGGAGTCAGGAGCCGAAGCTGGGGCTCTAGAGCTGAGATTTTATTTAATGTCTATAAATCTGACTTCTGCTCTGGTGAGTTTTTTTTTTTTTTTTTTTTTAAGATTTATTTTATTTGAAATAGTTACAGAGTGAAGTAGAGCCTGAGAGAGAGGTCTTCCATCTGCTGGTTCACTCCCCAGATGACTGCAATCGCCAGAACTGATCTGAAGCCAGGAGCCAGGAGCTTCCTCCGGGTCTCCCACATAGGTGCAGGGGCCAAGGACTTGGGCCATCCTCCACTGCTCTCCCAGGCCATAGCAGAGAGCTGGATCAGAAGTGGAGCAGGCGGGACTCCCGCCGGCGATGCAGGCCAGGGCTATAGCCCGCTGCACCACAGCACGGGCCCCCTCTAGTAAGTTTACACTGTGATTTTTGCTTTACTTAAGAAAACTCTGAAGAAAAGATCTCTTTTACAACAGGAGCAGTTGAATAGAAAGAGAAAAATGCAGATTTGCAAAATCTGAGAGGGACTGGCTTTAAGTCAGAATTTTATTTTGAAGGCTCATTAAATGAATTAAAGCTTCCTATGGACTACTTGGTGTTTAGTCTTCTCTTTTTTTTTTTTTTTTTTTTTATTTGACAGGCAGAGTGGACAGTGAGAGAGAGAGACAGAGAGAAAGGTCTTCCTTTGCCGTTGGTTCACCCTCCAATGGCAGCCACGGCCAGCGCGCTGCGGCCGGCACACCGCGCTGATCCGATGGCAGGAGCCAGGAGCCAGGTGCTTTTCCTGGTCTCCCATGGGGTGCAGGGCCCAAGCACCTGGGCCATCCTCCACTGCACTCCCTGGCCACAGCAGAGAGCTGGCCTGGAAGAGGGGCAACCGGGACAGAATCCGGCGCCCCGACCGGGACTAGAACCCGGTGTGCCGGCGCCGCTAGGCGGAGGATTAGCCTAGTGAGCCGCGGCGCCGGCCAGTCTTCTCATTTTTAAAAATCAATTTTTTCTTCAGGGAGTGGCACTGTGGTGCAGTGGGTTAAAGCCACGGCCTGTAGTGCCAGCATCCCATGTGGGCGCCAGTTTGAGTCCTGGCTGCTCCATTTTCAGTGCAGCTCCCTGCTAATGTTCCTGGGAAAGCAGTGGAACGTGGAACATGCTTGGGCCCCTGCACTCATGTGGGAGACCCAAAGAAGCTCCTGCATCGTGGCCTTGGCCTGGCCCAGCCCAGTCATTGCAGTTTTTTAAGTCTCGAGCTGGATTAGGGCACAATCAGGAACCTGGAACTCCACCTCGGCCTCCCACGTGGGTGTGGGAGTCCCAGCACTTGGGCCGTCTTCCACTGCTTTCCCAGGCGCAGTAGGCTGGGAAGTGGAGCTGCCCGGACTGGAACTGGTGCTCTGAAGGGATGCAGGGCTTAACCTGCTAGGCCACATAGTTGGTTCCGACATTACTTCTATAATAAAATTAACTTTAATGAGCAACTTAGGATTTTAGGAAGTAGATCACAGTACTCCGTAATTGGTCAGCCTTCAAATTCAACTACGGTCAACAAGATGAACCCAGGCAAATTTCTTAATCTTTTCGCTTCCTCACTTGGGAAACGGGACTATTATCTAATTCATAAGGCTAAATCACACAATACAGGTAAAAGCGCTTCAGTTAACACAAAGGCCTCTCCTGGCTACAAAACACCTTCTAGTCGCTCTAGCCGCCGCCTCGCCTCTATAGAACGCAGAGGTAGCCGGGAAGGGGGCGTGGCCTGGAGTCGGGACACGCACTTCCGCCCCGGAGTCTCCCGCAGCCAATCGGTCCCTGATGCCCCACCCCTTCCGCACTGGGAAAAACGAACCTCCAGAGCGTCTTCCGGCGGGAGCTGTGCGGCTCCTTATCATGGTGAGTTGCGTGAGGGTTTAGGGTTTCTATCCTCGGGGGTTCTACGTAACGTGTCTCATCCTGAAGTGGCCTGACAGTCCCTGAGCTGCCCAGCACGGAGGTCGGCGTCGTGGCGGTCGTGGCTCCCCAGGAGGAGCGGCTGTCTGTCTCCCCAAAGGTCCCCCCCAGAGCCCGATTCCCCCCGGTCCCTCACCCTGTCCCTTTGCCGCTCGGGCTCCCGGCCTTCAGCTGCGGGCGTGTTTAGGGCTTCCCCCGGGCGAAATTTCCTTGATGTAGAAATAAAAGTCGGCTGGCGTCAGCGACTGCGGTCTGAAAACATGTTCACCAGCACAACAGCGGGACAGCCGTGATGGCTAGAGCTGTGACAGCGCCGCCGGAATATAGGCTGGAGTATCGTTTTAAGGCGGACGGCTCCCTCTGCAACTTGGCTTTATTGAGTGGCAAGTTCCGTAAGCAGTGGCTGCAGAAAGTCGGGTGTTGTCGAGCGTCCTACCGCTGTTTGCAGGAACGAGGGGAAGATCCCTGCTTAGGCTGTGGTCACTGAGACGTGGAATTGCCCCCAGAATTCGTGTAGAGGGATTAACCCATTTTATGGCCTTAGAAATCAAATACATAGATCTCTGGGTTTCATCTCAAGACAAGCAATTGATTGTGATTTCAGCCGTCAGAGCGGCGATTGCCTTTTTGAATGTGTCTGAAAAATCAGTGGTGCACCTTATTTTTAGAAGATTTATTTATTTGAAAGGCGCATATGCATATATAGAGAGGGAGAGTTAGAGAGAGATCTTCCACCTGCTGGTTCACTCCCCAAAAGGCCACAAAGGTTGGAGCTTGGCTGATCCAAAACCAGGAGCCAGGAGCTTCATGTGGGTCTCCCACATGGGTGCAGGGGCCCAGGTACTTGGTCCATCTTTTGCTGCTTTCTCAGGCACATTAGCAGGGAGTTGGATCAGAAATGGATCACTGGGACTAGAACCGGCACCTATATGGGATGCTGGCACTGCAGGAAGTGGCTTTATCCATTTGGGCACAGCACCGGCCTCTCATGGTGCTTTTCATAAAAGCCTACAAATGAGAAAGGGACTACATTTCTGTGCCTAAGCTGTTGTCATTCAGTTTCTTGGTCTAGTGGAAACAGTCGAGAAAGTTTCTTATCAGTGTA